CTCCAACAGTGTGATGAACATGTCCTTCAACAAAAAACTGTGGATTCCTCCTTTCACCACGTCGCCTTCTAACCCTGGCACGACCATCGTGCATGCCTAAACAAAATCGAGACTCGTCACTAAAGACAATACTGTTCCATTCCTGATCCCAGAGTGACCGTTATCTGCACCACTCAAGGCGATTACGTCTGTGTTCTCGAGTTAAAGGGAGGACCCAGTGTGGCCGGTATGAAAACAAGCCAAAACTTCTCATTCGTCGGTAAACACTTCGCATGCCAATAGGTCTTCCGTGTTCTGCAAACCATTCATTTGCAATGGACCTGGTAGTGGAGAAACGGTCCCTTAAGGCCAATAATCTTCACGGTCTGGTGTTCTACGGCGGCGTCCAGTGGCCCTTGCTCTTTGCGTACGGCCTTCTCGAAGCCATGCCTGACAACACCTAACCACAGTGTCTACACTGCAATTGCCCTAAAAGAAAGTCCAGCTTCCCGAAGTCCCACTATACGGCCCCTATCAAACTCACTAAGTTGACGAAATCGTACAGGTCTCCGTACTCTAGGCATCATAACCGATCGTAAATGATGTCAAGAACCAAAATCCGCCAACGTTGATTCTTTACTGCGGCTGAAATATTCATTTTTAGAGCGTTAGTGAATTAAAAAAAAAGCAGTATAAAAACCGGAATGTCCAACTGATAAGGCTGAAAATTTTTTCACTTGTTATTTACAGTAAGATAAATACATTCACTAACTTTTATTAAAATAAAACCATTTAAACTGGGTGTTCGGATTTATATGTCACTTAGTATGGTTTGACAATGTAAAATTTAGGTATGCTTTTAAAATAATTTTAAAAAGGAGGCACTAATCGATACTAACGTAAAACTAAAAAAATTTTATTGGGTTTTTCAAAAAACTGCTGAAGTGGGGCACATTTTTCATCAAGAATGAGAGCATCTCAGTGATCCCTATACAGTGAAAACAAAATTTCTCTGACGGCTTAAGTTCAATGTGTACGAGAGGGAAGTGTGTATATGAAATTTTTGTTTTTATCTTACGTATTTTACGTTACCTGTCTGTAGACTCCGTTTTTCTTTTGTACATGTGTTATAGCATTATACTCTGCTCATTTCTATTTTGCAGTAATAATAATAAACACAGGAACACAAATGAACATTTCAAATACTCGTATTTTTCAACGTACTTCTTCTGTAGAAAAATTGCTTTTTGTAGAAAACTTGTCGAAAAATCAGACTATACCTGTATTTTGGATATAAATAATAAGTTAAGTTTTAAGGGTTAATGCACAGAGTAGATTTCTCTGTACGTGTGATGTGTGAAATGTGTCTAATAGGTGCGTAGATTAGCAAGGCTGGGAGCGTGCACAATTGGCTACTGATACGCCCAGCTTCATTCTTTGATGGCAGAATTGAAAAATTTCGATGGGACAAATGCATCAATAAGAGAGGAGATTATATAGAAAAATAACATGTAAATAAACTTGTATTTACTATACCATTACTTAAATAAAATTTCAGTTCAAATTTCATTCACCCTCGTATATGTATTCAATGCAATGCAAAAGAATTTATTTAAGCGAAATTACAATGATGACGAGTCAATGGTATTCAAATATACACAAATCAATACAGATAATAGGTATCAACAAATAAAGAATATACAGATAAATAATATAAATAATATCTCAGCCAATATAAGCATGATATTATTATTATTATTATTATTATTATGATAATTGAGATGAGCAGAGTACACAGTACTATAAGCTCATGCAGTAAATATAGTGTACGGGCACGTAACACAAATACATCGAATAGAAAAAAATAAAAAAGACAGTTCATAGCTATAAAGTTTGTACGCTCCTCCAGCTATCATACTGCACTTTGAAGCTATTAACTGAAGTAGCACCAACCACACTTTCAGGTAAACTATTCCAGGTGTTGAATATGCGGTTGGGAAGAAACCACTGTCGGACTGTTGTTTTAAATGGTTCCTTATGCAGTTTGAAGCTGTGTCCGCGTAGATTGCTGTGCGACAGACGGTATAGATGCATGAGGTTGGTGCCCATCAAACCATGAAGTATCCTGAACGTAACTATAAGATCGCCACGAAGTCTTCGCTCAGAGAATGGGGTCAGGTTGAATAATTCAAGGCGATCTTCATAGCTTGGTCTTCGTGCTCCAAAAGGGATACGAGTAGCCCGACGCTGTACTGATTCGACGAGGTTTCTATCGCGCAGAAGCACAGTGTCCCATACCGGGCCAGCGAATTCAAGAATTGGCCTCACGAATGCCTTGTAAATGTAGGCGCAAGTGTTGACATCGGATCCTTTGAAAGACCTCTCCAGCATGTATAGAAGTTTCTTGGCTTTTGATGTAACGTGGTGAATATGCTCTGACCAGGAAAGACGATCGTTCACCACAACGCCCAGATCAGTGTGGCTGGAAACTGCTTCGATGTTGTGGTCAGTGATCTTGTATGTAAATCGCGGATTTGTCTTCCCGAGGTGAAGGACACAACACTTAGTTAGATTTAAGGGTAAAAGCCAACTGACTGACCATTGACAAACAATATCAAGATCTCGTTGAAGCATAGCAGAATTTACGACAGTATTTTAAATCTTGGTGTCGTCGGCATAAGCTGAACATGTGGAGGAAATCAATGCGGGCAGGTCACTTGTATACAGAAGGAACAGCACTGCCCTAAGACAGAGCCTTGAGGAACTCCACTTGATACATGATGAAGGTGAGACTGGCTATCATTGACGCGCACAGAGAAAGTCCTCCCGGTGAGAAAAGCCTTAATCCACAGTAACAACTCGCCTCTTATTCCCATACATTCCAACTTAAACAGAAGCCCTAGAAAAATCTAAGTAGATTATATCAACAGGAGTCTTTGTGTCCAGATACTGAGTCCAATCGATGAGAGAGTGGAGAAGGTTGGTCATTATTGATCGACCAGGGAGAAATCCATGCTGATTCTTAGGGATAAGGTCATTTTCGAAAGCAAATGATAGGAGCTTATCTAATATGATTCTTTCAGCTATTTTGGCGGCGATAGGAACGAGACTTATTGGTCGATAATTTTTAGCGGAGGATTTGTCGCCCTTTTTGAATACAGGGGTAACAGAAGCACTAAGCCAGCATGAGGGTAGGGTATGAGATCTAAAAGACGATGTGAATATCATACTTAATGGTAGGGCCAGTGCTGAAGCGCAGTTTTTAAGTACAGCAGCCGTCATCCCATCTTTACCAGGGGAGGAAGATGTCTGAAATTTTGAAAACGAGTAGGCACATTACAAATAAAATACATTCAAAAACAAGATGTTTGTGCCCTGAAGTGTGATAGTATTATTAACGGGAGATATATCATGCATGAGGATAATAAGTAGTTCTGCAATAACTACGAGCCTCTTCCCACTTCAGTTGGCCCAACTATTGAAATCTTAGTGTTTTTCTTATCAAACACAAATAATAAAAATGTAGCAGAGTGTAGGTTCAAAATATTAACAATGAATATTTTGATAATATATAGTAGAAAACACCAACTTTATCACTCCCTTATCAAATTTGAAGTATAAAAATAACACATGTTGCAATTACAGCATATCAACCTATTTTCATTTCAATGCAAAATAAGTCTATAACGCATAGGTGGCTGTGAAAAATAAAAGCCATCACAATTGTTTTTATTAATGTCAGAATACGTTTAAAATAGTTTTGGGTAGTTAAGGTTTTCAAAATGGTTAGAGGAAAGGTTATTAGTGAGAAAATTCGATTACTGATAATTAAATTTTTTAATTCTGAGAAATCAAACTCAGAAATTGCAACTTTGTTAGACTTATCGCGGTACAGTGTGAGAAATATTGTTAGAAGATATAATGTAACTTTTTCAGTTAATATTAAGCCACGATATATGAAAAAAAGTAATATCACAAATGCCGACCGAAGAGCATTAAGAAGAATAATCATGAAAAACAGGCGTGTCAATTATTTACAATTAAGTGCTGTGTGGAGTGACGCTGTTGGAAGTAGAATTTCGAGGTCCACAACTCATAGCGAGGCCCACTTGCAAGGTAAGTTTTCTTATAAAAAAAAGTGAAGTAAAAACCCTAAAGTTGCACAACTTGTTTATAGGCCAAAGAAAAGCCACTATTAACTCCACTGCAAAAGAAAAATCGGCGTAGATGGGCTAAAGAACATAGACAATGGACACCTCAACAATGGTGTGCAATACAATGGAGTGATGAGGCCCGATTCGAAGTTTGTGTTGGTGACAGTCGCAGTAGAGTTATTCGCAAAAAAATGAAACATTCCATGATGACTGTCTGGAGAGAAAAGAGAAATTTCCAGCATGTGTTATGGTCTGGGGCAGTATGTCATCAAAAGGAGTAGGAAAACTTCATTTTATTGATGGAAATGTGGATACAAACAAATAATTGGCAATTTTAGAAGAATCGCTTTTACCAGTGATGGAAGAATGTTTGACATCCGGCCAAGATTTTGTGTGCCATACCTCAAAAAATGCTATAAAATGGATGGAAGAAAATAATGTACCACTTTTGAAATCGGTTTCTAGCAGTCCAGATCTGTCACCTATTGAAACTTTGTGGCACGAGATGAAAAAGGTTCTAGTTCAACATCCTGCTCGTACAATCACCGAACTGAGACAAAAGCTTCAAGAAATATGGGATTGTTTTACACCAAATTTTTGCCAAAACTTGGTTAACACTATGCCCCAAAGAATTTCAGCCGTAATAAAAAATAAAGGTGATGTTATCCAATGGTAATCTTTCAATTTTTGCTTTGTTAACTTCGCGCATTTATTCGCACATTGTTTATTTGTTCAGATGTTCTATTAGTTATAGGTCCAAGTGATTTCAAATAATATGTATTTTTTACGACTAGAGTGTATCTAAAATGTTTTTGAGAAAATAAATTGTTTTAGAAGTAAATAGTTTCGTCATGTTTAGTTTATAAAGGCATATTTTGGTACGAATCTTGAAGTGGGCCAACTGAAGTGGGAAGGGGCTCGCAGTTAATCGAGTAGCAAAAATAATATTTACTGAAAAAAATTCTTTGAGCGAGTCTTAGATTACGAATAATTTTAATTCCCTTTTAAGCGTTTTTTAGTTCTGGTGGTCTGAAATTGCTTTTAAGCATCTGACACGTATGTACGCCAGCATTCGTGAGGTGGTACCACCTCCGCCAACGGAAAACCACCTAATCATAACAATGCGCAGCACTTTCAACGAAATCATTCTCTCTATTTTCAGTATTCGTGAATTGTATCGAATACCAGTTTACGCTTGCATATGAAAATAAAATAAATTTCACTTTATGAAAGTATAGACAAATTATCTGGTTCACGGTACACGATCAACTGATATCAATGACATACCAACAAAAGTAGGTAGACGGCGTACCGCGAAACTCTGAGCGGTAAATTAACAAAAAATCAAGCCCATGTTCTCCTTACCGTAAAAGTTATCTAATCTATAATACCCATTAGTTTAAAAATGCCAACATATTATTTACAATATGCACAACGTGGTGCTTGCGTTCGCTGCGTGGCCTCCAATATTGTTAACATTCTGTGATATTGTTTATATTCAAACTGTGTAGTGCTCAAGTATGTTTTCCACAGAGCTGTCTGGTGACCTGAAGGAGTTAATCAAAAGGATAACGCCGGGTTTCGAGGAGAATTTGGTCCGAGTAAGTACCACATAACCTAAATTTTAAATCGTTCTCTGTCCGCTGCAATGTCGGAAGCTTAAGTGGGTCGCAGCGTCGGCCGTGAACGTGCTTATTGTACACTGGTCGCCAAAGTTAACACCTTCGCTGTCAATGACAGGCGATTTATTATGTTGAATCGTTGGGAATAAAATAAGATATAATAATAATAACAGTAATAATAATAATAATAACAATAGTAATAATAATAATAATGTTTATTGTTCCAATTACAAAGTTTTCGTATAAATAATAACGGCAATGTCCAATAAACATAATATACCCAAACAAGTGTACACTTGTGCTTGGGTTTCGACCGAAGTTGAATTATATTAATACAACAAATTTTCTTTAAGTGTACTAGTCAAATGTATAAATTTGAATCATTTTATGATTAAATAACATATAGGTTTTTAGTGTCAACAAACTTATGGATTTGTAGCCTTGGTTGATTTAGGATCCATGATTTTAGTTCAATTTTTATACGTTTTTTACATTTTATGTTAGCAGGAATAATATTATAAAATTTTGAGCATAGAAAATAGAATGATCTTTGGCTGATAGTTTTATTTAGTCTAGGAATTAGTGCAGAAGTTTCCTCGAATCGCGTTTAATGGTAGATAGAAAGTAACAATTTTGGATTTTTTGTTAAATATATTATTGTATGATAAAAATAAATTTTCTGAGGGATAGCAATTATTTTTGTTCAAAATAACTTTCAAAATCGACTTCTGCGTAATTTCAATCTCTTTATAATAATTATTCATGACTCCCCCCATGCTAAGATACAGTAAGATAGTAATGATTGAACAAGGGCATGACATATTATGTGTAGATATTTTTCGCTTAAAAAACTGCTGAAATATTTGACTTTCGGAATAAGGTATCTTAATTTTTTTACTAAATTTTCAATATGTTCATTACATCTTAGATGGTTATGTATGAATGCCCCTAGGTATTTGAAATTATGAACCGATTGTATGTTTCTACAGCTATTCAACGTTCTAATTTGGAGTTGATTAAAATTTGGGGAAGATCTGTTATCGCAAGAAGATGTAATAAAGTATGTATTGTTTAAATAGACTGTTAAAATCCTTTCCGTGAAAAAATTTGTAACCTTTTGAAAATCTAATACAATTTTGTTTTTTAAAGAAGTCCGATCTTTGTCTGAGTAAAAAATTGCATCTAACACTCATATTTTCACTCAGTGTAATAATTTTTGATGCGTAATACTATCGAATGCTTTGGCTGGGTCTACAAAAAGGCTTATTATTATAAACGTACTTCTAAATTTTGGTTGTTAACTGAATAAGTGCATCTTGAGTTGATTTTGCTTCCTGAAATCCATATTGCTCTTCAGATATGAGGTTGTGCAACATGCACACATTCTGGCTCTGCCTACGAGAACCGCCGTGTGGTACCTCCGCGTTCGATAGTCACAGACCATCTACCACCTACGGACAATCACAACATCCATAGCCAAGAGAAAAATTTCTCCTGGGACGGGACTTGAACCCGCACAGCGCACGGCGACTGATTAGGAGACCGAAGAGTCTGCTACTGCGGCCACCGCTGCTGCCTATTTATTTATGAAATCACAATTTTTCGTTAACAAAGAAATCCTTGATCTAAATAAAGACGAACAGGGTATTAATCCACGACAGCAACTCGAAATACATGTACTTTTTATGAAACACAAATATGGCTCCTAAAATCCTGTGCCCAAAAATATTTAATAAATCACCGGATGATCTTAGAAGGATAGAAAGCCTAAGGATTTTGAAAGTGAAGTTGAAAAGCTATTTTGTTGATAAAGCTTTGTTTTTTTCTCTTGTCTTTTTAATCTTTTTAGTTTCTAAATATCTTCTTGTGAGTGCATCAATATCGATCCTCCACTGCGTCTCTTTGGTCTATTGTGGATCTCTTCTAAATATGTTAATGTGATTCTTGTTTTTTTTATATTTTGTATATACTTGTATGTTTATATTTTTTGTATGACTGACGAATCCCATTGATTATCTTTATTGTCGAATGGATAATAAAATAAATGAAATGAAATAAAACATCGTCGGTGCAAATAGTCAATCTACTTGATACTGTTTACCTTATTCTTATCTTATTTTGCAGGCATTTAAAAATGAAGGACTTAGGTATCAGCAAAGTACGAATAACAACAGGAATGTTAAAAAATTGGATAGTGTTCTTGTATCGGTGGACGATACCAAAATGTAAGTACACTTTTTTGTTTTCTCTTTCTTGTTGTTGGTAAAACCTGATGATATCTGGTCTAGATGGCATCCCGTCCTTTATAGTCAAAGATTGTGTGGAAGTGTTTGTTGGTGTTCTAACTAGGATTTTTAATATTTGTCTTATAACAAAAAGATTTCCAGATATTTGGAAGATCGCTAAGGTCTGTCCAGTGTTTAGGTGTGGGGATAAGTCAAATATTGAGAATTACAGGGCAATCTCTATATTATGCATGTTCTCGAAAGTCTTTGAAATAGTCTTGTACAGTCGCATTTGCTCTGCCGTCCAGCGTCAACTGTCATTGCATCAACACGGATTTGTCGGTGATCGGTCAACAACCACAAATCTATTTATAATAACGCAGTACCTCTCGGAAGCAATTGATAGTAATGAGCAAGTTGACGTTATTTATACCGACTTTTCGAAGGCTTTCGATAAAATTAACCACAAAACTTTATTAAATGAGTTAGGTGCACTTGGTTTCACAGATGAAGAGTTGATGAAATCTTACTTATCCCATCGTAGACAATTTGTTAGCTATAATGGCTTCCAATCTGAGACCTACTTGGCACTTTCTGGAGTTCCTCAGGGGTCCAATCTGGGACCATTACTGTTTTTGATATTTATTAATGTGACTCAGGTGAATGTGAACGCCTATGCTTTGCTGACGACCTAAAAATTTATTCGCATATAAATACTCCCGATGATTGTATCAAGCTACAACACCAATTAAATTTTGTGCTGTCTTGGTGTGTAGAAAACAAGTTGGAGCTTAATGTGAGGAAGTGTAAAATAGTCAGCTATACCAGGAAAATTAATGTTTGCGAATATCCGTACTCTATTGATGGTTCTGTGCTAGAAAGATGCTCTGATGTGCGTGATTTAGGTATAATCTATGATCAAAAGTTAACTTTTAGTCAGCATATAAATAAAAAAGCATCAGAAGCATTGGCGGCTTATGGTTTCATAGTAAGGAATTGCAGGAATTTTCATAACATAAATACTATTAAGCTATTATGCTATTATGTTTATGCTAGATCCAAAGTCGAATATTGTAGTATTATTTGGAGCCCTTACTATGAATGCTATAGCATAGCTATTGAAAGAGTACAGCGGAAGTTTATGAAGTTTGTGCTGTTTAGGATTGATGGGACATATCCAGAGAGAGGTACAAGTAAAACTATGTAGTCGCTTAGACATGTTGACTTTGAAAAAACGTAGGTACTGTGCCTCAATAATATTTGGCTACAAAATGATCAACAATTTAATTGATTGCCCCATGATCCTGGAACAGATCAAGTTTCGTACTCCAACGTTTGCATCTCGCAATCATAAAATATTCGGGCTTCCTAGAGCTAGGACAAAATTTCTTCTCAAGTCACCGTTATATGTAATGTGCTCTAACTTAAACAGAATTGGATGTTACTGTGATATATTTACGACAAATATTAATTACCTGCTAAAGGCAGCTAAGGCTTATTCGGACCAATAGCTCATGTTACAAATTTATACCTGTGTTGCATTTGTTTTCTTTTCGGTTTTTTCGCTTTTTTTGCTTTTGTATTATGTTTATAAATTGTCCTCTAATGGGAAACTGTTGGACAATAAAGCTATTATTATTATTATTATTAAAACCTATAAGAAGGACCACGTTCATCCGGTTTCGATGAATGAGCCGCTCATTTCGGCTGGTCGGAATCTAGTTCGCCGGGAACTTGTGGCAGCTGCTGAGAAAAAGCTAGGCTATGCCATTAGAGCTAAAAAGTGCTTTTCCCCATATAACTTTCCCACTCTGTACAGGGTTCAGGAAAGATATAGCCTGGAGTTATACTCACATGTTTGAGGCCTCGACTATATTATCCATGTTCGATGTTATAGAATGTCCGACTGATCGATGACTCTTTTCTAACGCACAGTTTTGGGACCCTTTCGCACCGGCGGGCCGTCGGCGATCTGGCTTTCTTCTACAGTTATGTCCACCCCGAGTTCGGCCTCCCATCGTAACCGTGTTGAAGTTCGTATATCGAAAGCTGGTCGGTACGACCGCTCCTTTGCCCCTAGGGCTTCAAGATTATGATACAAGTTATCTCTAAGCAGCCGGGGTATCCCTCGTATTTAGGTTTCGGACATCGCGTCTGCTTTCGTACAAAACAATAGGTATGATTCAGTTCAATTTTGATGGGACTGTTGCTTGGAGGCGAAAGGAATTGCAAACTCGATATTCCTGCAAATTGTTTTATCCTTGCGAAAACAGTATTTTATAGATGTAGCCTATCTATCCGCTCTTGGATTTCCCCACGGCTACCGCATCAAGTTAGCAAATACGCTTCTGTACAAAATACATTCAGTTATTCGTATTACACAATTCACATCTACGAATGATCGAACGTGGTATAGCATTATTCAAATAAGGCCTTATTTCATCACATGCATTCCTGATTCTGTCTATTAGCATATCTCTTGTGGTTACGGGAGTCCGGTACACTTTTTCTTTCGGAAATCCCCACACAAAGAAATCTAATGGATTTAGGTCAGGGGATCGTGGAGGCCAGGCGACTGGTCCTCCACGGCCGATCCATCTTTCTGGATAATTTTCGTCCAGCCAGTTTCTAACTATTCTCGAATAATGAGCTGGACTACCATCAAGCTGGAACCAGGCCAATCTTCTTAAATCTAACATAACATCATCCCAAATATTTGCATGTTCAGCCTCTAAAAATTCCAAGAAGGTCGCAGCATTTAACCTTGCAGGCAAAAGGTAGGGTCGAAATAGTCGATTACCGTAGATACCAATCCACACGTTCACACTAAATTCATGCTGAAAATTTCTTTCCCGAACTGCATGCGGATTTTCATGCGACCAAATATGTTGATTATGAAAATTTACCACTCCACGTCTAGTGAAGCATGACTCGTCGGTCCATAAAACGTTACTTAAAAACTCCCTATTATTATCAGTTCTATCAAGAATCCACTGACAAAATGTGATTCTTCGTTCTCCGTCCACTGGCTGTAGTCCTTGCACAGGTTGCAAATGGTAAGGACGTCTATGGTCATTTCTAAGAACACGGTGAACATGGCTTGCTGAAATTCCCAAGGCACCAGAAACTCTCCTAACACTTGTAGTCGGATCTCTAACCAACTCACGCAGAATCATACGGGTAAATCTGCGCTGACGAACATTTATCTTTGATCCCTTTGGAGATTTCTAATACCATTTTAAATTATTTGGCGATGCACTCTTACATTCTCTGGCTGCTTCTGCTACGTTTCCATTTACGAAGCCATACACAAAATGAATATCCGCTAACTCTTGATTGGAGAATAAAAATGGCATTTTTATAAAACTTACAAAAAAAAAACAGGTAAAAGAAACTAAATTTCGTGCATTCACAATTGCAAAAAAACGTTTCAGGTTTCAACAGACAACAAAACTAACTGTCAACTAATTGACGTTTAACCTTATTCTGCTTTCAATTTCAAAAATATTTGCAGGTACAGCCTACTTCTAAAAATTATCGAGATACTGACTTTTTAACGTTAGTTTATCATAAATAATTAAAAATGCATCGAACATTCAAAATCGAAATATCTCGAAAACTGCTAACTATAACGAAAACTCACAAGAGAGCTTTTTTATGTTGAAAAGTGCGAAGGGTCAGTTTTTTTATTCAAAAAGCAAAAAATTGCACTAAGAAAAAAATTTCGGTCATTTTAATACACTACAGGTAGAGTAGAGAACGCCCTCTAGCGGTTACAGTAAAACTATGCCCATGGTTCGTTTTGTCGTACCAAAAAACCCTTGTATACCAATTTTCACTGTTATACATCAAATATTGTTCGAAATATTTAAAAAAAACTATTTTAGAAAGTAAATTTAAACACCCTGTATTTCGGAAGCCACGCATTTTTCTACCCATGTTTATATAAACTTTATGCATTAATTTTAAAAGTTCTATCGAATTTTAAAGTTATGCAACAATAAACTGAAACACCCTGTATCGTCTGAAATTTCCCACAATTCAAGAAGAAAACATAGCCTGAGAATAGGATAGCGCTGACGCTGACACGGATCAGTAGAAATCTAGACATATCCCAAAATCAAGGAGACTATAAAGGCGTCCTACAATTATTTTAGGAACGACTGACGATATGGCCCAAAAGCCCCCCTGGGCACCCCTCAGCACTCAATACTGCCGCTGTTTTCATTCATCATCTATTCGCGAGAGGCACGTCCTAGGTACCTTAAGGCTGCTCAAATAAAAGATGGCGGATGACGTCGATTTATATTTTTTTCTCAAAATTTCCGTAAGTCTAGTTATAATCGTTATCAAAAACGGGTAGCCTACGAGGACTGTAAATTAAGTAATGAAACTGGCAACGTAGCGTACGATCTGGCAACACTGGAGACACAGGGCTGGGAGGGGATCTGCCTTCAGTATGTTTGAACTTGATTGTCCGTTGTGATTTTTTTAAACAGATTTTTATCTTGTGTTGTAAAAATGAATGAATTTCGAGCAACGGTATGCTATCCGGTTTTGCTTCAAACTTGGGCTCAGAAAACTTTAGGAGTCCTACGAAGATAGTGTTTTGTCAAGAACCTAGAATTTTCGGTGGGGAAAATTCTGGACGGATGACTCGACATTTCAAAAAGATGGTTACATGAGTCAAAACAACTTACACGAGAGGCGTATAGAAAATACACATTTTATGAGAGAAGATAGAACTACAGTTTCGTTTTCAAGTAAATATTTGGACCGGTATTCTAAATGAGAGAATCATTATCCCTTTCAGCTGCCTGATTTTTGAATGGCGGAATTTATTTAGCCTTTTTACAAAATAATTTACGAAATTTACTGGAAGGCGTGTCACTAAACATTTTCAGAGACATGTACCAGCAACATAGCTGCTCGGCGAATTTTATGTCCGTCCAGGGCGGTGTGGTACAATTTCGTGGCCAGCCTGTTCACTTGACTAAAATCTACTTGATTTTTTTTACTGCGGAGAGGTTTACTCAAAGCCAATCGAAAAATTAGCTGAGCTACGAGACAGAGTAAAGGAAGCAGCTGAATTTGTTAATATCGGAAGATTTTATGCAACATCGGTGGATATGGATGTTGTGATTTTTCGTATTTGGTAGACGGTCTCTGTCTGTCGTACGCGAAGGTACCACCCGGCGGACCTCGTAGGCGGGTCCACACGCGTTCTTCGCTAGACTCCCTTTCACTCTGTATACCCCTATAGCCCCACGGTAGCCCATGGGTGTTTAGGCCTTGGGTATTCGTGGTAGCTGGAGTATAAAAAGATGATTCGCCCGTCTGATAACCCGATCATTTTTAAGAAGATGTTAAGCTTGCATTGCTGCTAAAGGAAGGCAGTTTGAACAATTATTGTGAATTTAATAAATATAGTTACGAATAAATAAAACTCGACCTAGATTTTTTTACATTTTTCTGATAACTAGTATGACTTGGCCTATCCCCGTTTCCGGCTTGACGTCGACTTGTGGGACACTCTGAATTATTATTATTTATGCATGCTGGCGCCTATGTAGTTGCCCCCCACCAATTAGTCCCTAAGGATATCTAGTCAGCTTACCTGACACTATTTGTGCCTGGAAAGCATATTGCCACATGTCCATAAAATTGATTTGAGTGTCTATATCCATACTTTCTTTTCAACCGGCTTTGTGGTGTCAATTGCAGCGAACTGGGAAATTTGAAGTTCCCTTGGGCCCCGGATTTCCGGATAATCAAACTGTCTGCCGACCTAAGCATGCTATGTCTGGATGTCGCCTTCAAATTGGGAGACTTGAGGATAGAGGGAGAATACGAGGCGACTAACATGACTCTACAGCGGCTGTTACCTATCTCCAGCAACGGAAGGATTGAGTAAGTTGAGGGTACGGGTGTCGCTGAGAAGTACTTTGGCGTCATTGATAGTACAGTCCTACGGAGCCAATTTATATCAAAATAGTTGAGGCACTATGTGCGTTTTTTAGACATTGTAATCGCGAAAAACTTCTAACATGAAATACAGTGGACCTCCGGTAATCCGAAAAAACATTATGCAGGGCAGTGTCGGACTATGGAATTTGTCGGATTATAGAGCACTGCCTAAGACCCCCTATAGTCTGGAATTTTTTACAAAAGAGTACCCTGTAATCCGACAAATTATATATCCAATGGTAAGATTATATATGTTATGTATATGTATGTACTTTGAAGTACAAATCATACATACTTTATGAATGTCGAATTTAGTAAATTAAATAACAATAGAGAGCTTACGTTTTAATATAAAATTAAGCAGAAATGCACATACATATGTACCAAAATAATCAAAAATTATTATTAATCAAAATCATTAATGAATTTATCAAATTATGAAGCTTGGAAATATTCATCAATTTGTTTTTGTTTAAGGTTGTTATAACGCGAGATCAGAGCTTTGTCCTTCAGTCTTCTCAAAAGTAAAAGTTCGTTGTAGGATGTACCATTCTCTTCAGCCCATTGTAAACCTAGCTCAAAGACGTTAATTGCGTCTTGTGCTGTGACTTGTGGAGCAGTTGCAATCACGTCGTCGTTATTTTCCTGATTGTTTGTTGTATATTTAGAAACCTCTTTTATAATCTCTTCGTCCGACATTTCATGAAAAACATTTTCCTCTTTATCCATTCCACGGCACCAGATTTCCAAATCTTCCGGACTTATCTGTGTTTCAGTAGCGACTTGTTCCATAACTTCCGAAGTAACACTGATTTGTGGAACGTTGCTAGGAGTGGTGACTATATCTGGCCATAACTTTTTCCAAGACGATTTAATAGTTGATGACGGTAACGCATTCCACGACTGACAAAGAGCAAAAACCAAGTCTTTCATATTAAATTCTTTGAATGTTTTTTCTATTGGTTGGTCTTTTGATACGGCTCTCAGAAGTATGTTTTTCTTATAGTCTTGCTTGACAAACTGAATAATAATCTGGTCCATTGGTCCAATGTTTGTTGTATATTTAGAAACCTCTTTTATAATCTCTTCGTCAGACATTTCATGAAAAACATTTTCCTCTTTATCCATTCCACGGTACCAGATTTCCAAATCTTCCGGACTTATCTGTGTTTCAGTAGCGACTTGTTCTATAACTTCCGAAGTAACACTGATTTGTGGAACGTTGCTAGGAGTGGTGACTATATCTGGCCATAACTTTTTCCAAGACGATTTAATAGTTGATGGCGGTAACGCATTCCACGACTGACAAAGAGCAAAAACCAAGTCTTTCATATTAAATTCTTTTAAAGTTTTTTCTATTGGTTGGTCTTTTGATACGGCTCTCAGAAGTAGGTTTTTCTTATAGTCTTGATTGACAAACTGAATGATATTCTGGTCCATCGGTTGAATCAGTGCAGTGCAATTGGCGAAAGAAACATCGCAGGGATGCATTTGTCATCAGTTGTTAGTTCTTCTTCAGACGGATGACCGTGAGCGTTATCAAGAAGCAACAACGCTTTTTGAGGAAAATTGTGATCTTTTAACCATGTTCTAACTTCAGGTACGAAGCATGCATCAAACCACTTTTTGAAAAGGTCTTTTGTCATCCATTCACTTTTTTGTCCGTAATAGTGTACAGGTAAATCAATGTTTTTGAATGCCCGTGGTTTATTAGATTTCCCAATGACCATCATCTTAAGCGCGTGTGTGCCCGCAGCGTTAGCACATGGTAGTATGGTTACACGCTCTTTACTTACTTTTCGTCCAGGTACGGATTTTTCGTTACAAGAAACGAAAGTTTTGTTAGGCATCACACGACAAAAAAACCCTGATTCGTCTGCATTTTACACCTGTGACGGGTCAAGATTTAAATCGTTCACCTTTTGCAAAAATCTTAATTTAAAGGGCTCTATGCAGGTGGCATCGTTAGAAAGTTTCTCTCCTGTAATAGTCATTAAACGTATGCTATGTCGACTTTTAAAACGTTCTAGCCATCCTTTGCTGGCCACAAAATCATCTTTTTTTGTTATTTCCTTATAAAAAAACTTAGCTTTCATGACCAACATGGGTCCTAAAATTGGTGCATGCCTATTTATTTCCTGAAGAAACCACATGTACAAAGCTTCTTCCACTTCTGGATGTTCAGCTTTCTTGAGTGTCTGTCTCTAGCCTGGCCCGCAGTCAGTAGTTGACACGAACTTCTTGATCTTCTCGTGGTTTCTTTTAATGTCATAAATTGTAGATCGGCCTACGCCGTATTCACTTGCTAAACTACTGAAAGTTTCATTGCGATTTAAGCGGTCTAAAATATCACATTTTTCTTTGTCAATGTTTTGTGCTTTCGCTGCTGAGTTTGTGATGACATTACTAGCTACTATACTTAATACACAAAGAATACATAGTAAACAATGAACGCACGCTAGGCCGTACCGCTATCACCAGTAGTCAAATTCAAACTAAGTAAAACAATGCTTACGCGTAGAGCACGATAGCGGTGGCGCGTACAAGTTGTAACCTGTTCAAACCTGCTGATCTACATTAGCGCTGATTGTCAAATACGTACGAATGTAATACATATTCAAAGACATGTCGGATTACAGGGGGCGCCGGATTAGACAGGGGCCGGATTATCGGGGGTCCACTGTACTATGTTTTTTGGATGTTATATGATATCTACATTACGAACAACCTCATTTCCGTCGGTCTGTCTGTGTGTCTGTCAGCTAATCCTTAGCCCATCTTTAACTTTTAAAGTACTGGTCGGATTTTGATGAAATTTTCACATAAGGTTACTACTATGCCAAGGTCGAAATCGGTGCTGTTTCCGCAAAGATGAAAAAAAAATAGACTCGCTCAAACTTCGTTTTTTGAAGTTGCAGAGGATCCTGATCACTATTGAAAAACATTTTGGGGGTGAAAAATTGGGGGTGTCGGGTTGTAAGTTTTCTATATTTAAACGCTGCCAACCTCGGTAATTCTACGCACCTATTTGACATATTTCGCACCATCATTCATTTCCCCGTTCATTAGCCATTAAAACTTGGAATGATACAGAAAATAAGAAATGCTTTCGATACGCGTCCCTGTTTCTGGTGAGCGTACCGGTCTTAGTAAGGGTTCTGGCCCTACTTCCACGTCTGACGCCTTGTGCGGTCATATATCGGGGGAGGCCACGTTTCCTAATGGGCAAAGAACAATACCTATACAGGATGTTTCACAACTTATCCGACAAATTTTAACCACATATGCACTCTTACGACGTCTCAAAAAGAAAAAAATGTAATAAAAGTCCTACAGAAATCGAGATAATAAAATAATACAGTTTCACAGTTCACTTACTTATAAAAGCTGCTCAAAATTGTTTTCATTGACTGCAATGCAACCTTGGGCGCGTCTAATCCAATTTCGGCGCACTAATTCAAATACACTTCTTTCCTGCTGTGCCTGAAGCCTCAAATTATCGGCAGCTACTGTAATTCGGTCACGCCATCCTTCAATATTCTGAACTGACGTACGATATACTTCGTTTTTCAAGTATCCCCGTAAAAAGAAGTCTAGAGGATTTAGATCGGGAGACCGTGGAGGCCATGCAATTGGTCCTCCCCTTCCGATCCAGCGTATCTGGTAAACCTGATTAAAAAAATCACGAACTTCTAAACGACAATGCGGAGGTGCCCCATCGTACAGAAACCACATCCGTGCTCGGACAGATATCTTCAAGAAGGACCGCCAAATCAGTCCGAAGAAATTCCAAATACTGGTGACCATCCATCCGATCTAGAAATATGAACGGTCCAATTAGACGTTCATCGACAATACGTGCCAACACGTTCAGGTTCATAACATAACTTCTGTAGGGCTTTTATTAATTTTTTTTGAGAAATCAACTTCGTTCGTAACAGTGCATATGTGGTTAAAATTTGTCGGATAAGCTGTGAAACACCCTGTAGACTAATTGTTTGGACCTGTTTGACTGGCTTGATCCGTTTAATTTCTCTGTTATACAGACTAAGTTTTGCTTAACTTGTGCTAAAATCATGACGTAATTGTCTAAGAAGTGCAGAGTCTTGCTGATGCCATTTTTAAATGTGCCTAATATTCCAGCCGATCTCGCGGAAGTTGGAGATATCATTTTGGGGAAAATTGTAAATGGGCAAAATATTCGAGGAAAACGTGTCACGATCACCAATATGAGTGTTGCCAGGAAAGAAATCCTGTATCTTTTTTGCCAACCCAAAAATATCTACAAAATAAATTTTGTCTACCTGTCGGTCTGTCCGAAAAACCTTGTCACAGCTGTAGCCTTCAAAGTAACAGTCCGAATTTGGTGAAATTTCCGCCCAAAGTTACTACTACTACTCTTTGTAGTTTTTGAAAATCGCTTCAGTAAAAAAACTTTAATATCCCAACTAGCAAAGTAGTGGTATAAGCTTTTGGTAAAAGAACCGTTCAGCCATAAAAGCTATCTATTGTTGTTGCCTGAACATCAAAATGCTGGCTTAATGTTGTGTGGAATTCAGATTTGCTTTCTGCAAGATATTTTCTCTAAAATGAAGTGTTTAAAATATTCTTATAGCATAGGGCAAATTTTTAACTGTTGCATAAACGTTTATACAACTATTTTATACGGCATATTTGCACGTTAGTCGAAATGGTTGTGTTGTGGCATCCATGGTAACGTTTATAAAACAAACCCGAGCCTTGTTGTTTTGCTGTGCAATTTACTACTTTAGCCAACAAATTGCTCCCGACGGAAGCACTTATACAACTGTTGTTTAGTAACTCATAAAGGCTGTACATATGCTAAATATGTTGGTAAACAACTTCGCCATAACCTAACTTTCTGCTGTCACATTTTTGTAAAATGCCATAATCAATGTTTTAAGACAAACAACGCATGCATA